CTCTGTCTCTCTATTTCGCTCTGGGTCTCTCTCTCTCTCAGTCTTTCAGTCTCTCTCTGGGTCTCTCATTCTGTCTCTCTCTCTCTCTCTCTCTTCTCTCTTCTCTCTCTTCTCTCTCTCTCTCAGTCTCTCCCTTTCTCTCTCTCTCTCTCTCTCCTTTGCTTTTTTCCCAAACAGAGTTTGCACTTGGTTTCTACGGAACTGGACTTGTGCGTCGATCTGGCGGCTATGTGGTCGCCGTCGCCGCCCCGTCGCCGCCGTCTGGGCCTGTGCGTCGGTCTGGCGGCTATGTAGTCGCCGTCGCCGCCCCCTTGCCGCTCGTTGCCGCTGTTAGATGGCACCACATCGATTGCTTTGTGCTGATTTGCATTGTGTCGCTTGCCCAACATCGATTGCACCACGTCGATGACACCACATATACTGTACCACATAGATTGCGCACCATAAATTGCACCACGTATATACACAATATAGATTGTACAACATACATTGCACACCGTATATTGCACTACATCGATGGCTCTACAGAAATTGCACAACATAGATTGCACAACATTTGTTGATCCACATTGATTGCACCTCGTGGATTGCACCGCATACAGTGCACCAGCTATATTACATAGTATAGTTTGCACCACATCGATTGCGCCACGTCGATTGCACCACATATATTGCACACCACATAGCTTGCACTACATAGGTTGCACCACACGTATTGCGCAGCATGGATGACACAACATACACATGTATACATATACATATAGATACATATATATATGCACATATTGCATCACGTACGTTGCACCACGTTGAATGCACGACAAATGTTGCTCCACAGTTCTGGCACAACATATACGGCTTGACACCTGTTGTACCACATATATTGCACAACATACATTGAATCACGTATGTTGTATCAATGGGATATTTTACCCATATTGCACAACATGTGCTGCTAGAAGCACACTGCTTGCGGCCCACGCTCGTCAGCATGTTGTATTATGTTTTTGTTTTTCTTTCTCTCTCTCTCTCTCGTTCCCTGGCCCCACTGGCTCAAGCGTGGGCCCGAACCCCTCTGGTGGGCGAGCTGGCCACGAGGAGCACCCCCCCCTTGTTCTCAGCCTGGACAGGTTGCAGTCTCGGAGCCTCCCTCCCAAGCGCAGATCGCTCCTCCCCTCCCGCCTGCCGCGCCAGAGGAGGAGGAGGAGGAGGAGGAGGAGGAGGAGGAGGAGGAGGAGGAGGAGGAGGAGGAGGGAGGAGGAGGAGGAGGAGGAGGAGGAGGAGGGGGAGAGGAGGAGGAGAGGAGGAGGAGGAGGGAGGGGAGAAAACGGGGAGGAGGGGAGGAGGAGGAGGAGGAGGAGGAGGAGGAGGGGAGGAGGAGGAGGAGGAGGAGGAGGAGGAGGAGGAGGAGGGAAAGGAGGAGGATCCCCTTCAGCGCCGTGCCCAGCGTGCGGCCCCCGCCCTGCCTCGCCGCGGCTCCCCCGCCCGCGGCTTCGGCCTCGCGGCGAGGGAGGCCCGCTTGGCGACTGGGAGGGCAGGCGGATCCGATCGAACAGGGGAGGCCTGCGACGAGGTGGCACTCGAGAAGAGCACGGAGCTGCCGCGTAGTTGGACACCCGTGCTCCCAGGGGGCAGGCGTTACCAGCCTGACCAGCTGCGCGGTGCGTTCCAGCTTCTCCTTCGCCAGCACCAGGGGCAGCGGGAGCTTGGCGCACCGAGCCCGCGCCCGACTGGTGGCCGACCGTCGCGCCGCCGAACCCCGCGGCTCTGGTGGCAGGCCACCGCGGAGGGCCGCCCCTGCGACGCCGCGCATGTGCCTCGACACGGCACGCCTGTCAGCCCCTGCTGTCGTGGGGCCCGCACGTGCTCTTCGTGGCAGCGTGCTCGTGAGCAACGTCTCCCTCTCCTCCCCCAGCTCAAGTGCCAAGATGCCCCACCTCCTCCTCCTCCTCCTCCTCCTCCTCCTCCTCTTCATCCACATCACCCCACCTACCCGGATACTGAGATGTAAATCCCAGTCCTGCGCCGGGCTACCATGGACGAGCGGCCTCAAGCGGACCACGTCGACGGCACATCTGATCCAAGGCGAGCGCCGCCCACCCGTCGCCGCGGTCCAGCTCGACCCTTCGGAGAACGGTGCCTGAATGAGGGCCACGGTCCACAGACTTGAGATCGCCACCCTTCTCGGGCGCCGCCCCTGTCAGCGGGGCCAGGGCCCGACGCCCGGCAAGGAGTGCAGCTGTGTGCACAGCAGACTGTGCGAAAGCGGCAGCAGAACGCTAAGAAAGGCGCGGCCAAGAAAGTGGCCGAGGAGTCCTTCCACGCCGCCTTGCAGGCCATTTTTCATACCCACCCCTGTATATAGTGAAGATTCATGTTAAGAAACACCCTGCTTGCCTCCAGGATGCCTTGTGTTTTTTGGGTTTCGATGGTTTTGCGATGGAAAGCGTGGCGTTCCAGCAGCTAACATCGATGGACGTCCTGGGGTCTCAGGGTTGGGTTTCTTGTGGACGGTTTCTTGTGGAGGGGTCCCTACTGTAGTCCGCATCCACGAGGCCCCGATCCGTCGGAGCAGGTCGGCACGTCACAGTGCAAGTGCCTCCCGACTGCCGCCTTCGGGGTGACACCTGCAGACGCCTCGACGTTGCTCGTGGCCTCGGGCTCCGCGGATGTTGCCTTTGACCTCGATAGCCATGGTGCCACGGCACACGCAAGGATTGCCCCTGTACCGTGGTATGGTGCGAGGATGGCGCCACCCGTGCCGAAGACACACGAAGTCACCACCAGATGGCAGCCAGCGGCGCCGTCGAAGCTGACCGCGCCGTCGGCATCCGCGTGCTGCGTGGCACAGCCATAAGGCGGTCGCCTTGGAGCTTCGTGGCACCGCAGCGGCTCTCGCTTAGAATCTCGGGGGGCGGGTTCCACTACTCGCAAAGTGCCTACTCGCAAACGCCCGAAAAATAGTTTGTTGCCTCGACGTAATGTATCGTGAATCCCCCGCGGTGGATCCAGGCCATTTGCGAGTCGGGACTGCGAGTAGTGGAACGCGCTTGTCTAGAACCGCTATCGGATCACGGGCTTGGAGCTTCCATGTGCGTCCAAGACCCACGTCAACAACGCGATCCAGGTCCTCACGCAGGGCGGCGGAGGCCCCATCTAGGTGGGATGGGGCCGCCCCAGCTCGCATCACCTTGCCGTGGCCAGGGCCCATCTCCCCCCACCCAAAGCGACCGTTGAGCTGGACGGATACGCCCTCCCCTGGACGATAGCTGCTGCGGACGTAAACCCACAAGCGACCCCTCCCAAGCAAACGGTCACGTCCCCCACCACTGTTCCCCCCGCCAGCCTCCTGCAAGCCCCGCCCACAGGCCCAGCGCTTAATGTTGGCGGTGCGAAGTTGGTGTGCGATGTGGCGTCGCTGGCCCGCTTATTGCACGCTGTCCCCGGGCGTGCGCCGAGGAACTCCTGGCAGGGGGATGGCGTGTGCCGACGGGACCCATCGCAGGGGGGCAGCGTGCGCAGAGGGGGCCTTCGCGGGGAATCGCCTCACGGGGATGGCGTGCTGCTCGGAGCTCGATGCTGTCCGCCATCTTTGTGACGCCAGCCGCAGGGCACGCGGGTGGACGGTCCCCCCGCGCTCCACGACTGGGCGGCCAAGGAGCCTCTGGTCATGGCGCCCACATCGCAAAGCGGATTTCGCTCGGAAAACCATGGGGTGGGCCCCGGAATATCCTGGAGAGGTTCGTTCCGGATTTCGAAGTGAATTTCTGGCGGATTTTTTCTGGCCAGGAATGAACTTTTCAAACACGCACGTGACATCTTCATTTCGTTTCTCGCTCGCCGCTTCGGGGTTTCGCATTGACAGAAGTCCACGCAAAAATGCGCTGCAGCATGTCTGCAAGGCCGGTGCCTTGACTCTGGCTCGAGGCTCTCTCGGCTGGCTCCGCTTCCCCCGCCGCCGCCGGCCCTCCCTGCCCTGGTCAGCACCCTGTGCTGGCATGCGCCGCTGCGCGCCTCGCTCGCGCACGGCGCCCCCGCCCCCCTCGCCCCCCGCCCCCGCATCCGACCGAGGAGCAAGAGCTCCCCGGAGCACGCGCAGCTCTAGACCTCCCAGATGGGGTCGAGGTCGGAGGATCACGCCGCATCGCCGATGCGTCGGCGACACGGCCCGATGTGGAGCCCGATCTTTTCCACTCGGACGTCATCGCTGAATCGTCGACGTCGCCGATGCATCGCCGATGCGGCGAGACCCTCCCCGACCCCATCGACTCCAACCGCATCTGGGAAGCCTCTAGTAGTGCCTCTGCTGAGCTCTCGTAGGCAGCTCGACACTCTCAGCCCTCGTCGTCCTCACCTCCTCCCCCCGCCGCTCCCGCTCCTCCCCCCAGGTCCCTGCAAGAACTTACTGTCCTCGCGGGACGTGCCCCATTGGAAGACAACAGTCCGAGAATCTCTCAGCGTGCCAAAATACAACTCCTGGGATTTCAGACCGCCGTTGGTCGGCGTGACGCTGCGCCCTAACGGTCCGAAAGCCCGCCAGGGCACGGCTCTTGCCCTCCTTCGGCGGCGAGCCCTGGGGGGAGGTGAGCGGGGGCGGGCCCTCTCGGAAGGCTCCGAAGCCCCCCCGGGCCTCCCGAGAAATTTTCGGAGCCCTCCCAGACGGACGACGCAGGACACTCCTCAGAAGGCTGGAGCGCTTCTGAGAAGCCCCGCCGCCTTTGAGCAGGCCCTAGAGGACGAGATCCCCAGACCTTCTTCGTCTTCTCCTCCTCCTCCTCCTCCTCCTCCTTCTCCTTGCCTCTCTAGACTGGCCGCGCCGTATATCAGGCTTTGCCCCAGGTCGTGCTCGTGACAGGAAAGCCTTGCCGTGCAGGCTGCGCTCCTGTTCTTGCGCGGTGCGGGTGGGTGGCGCCTCCACCGTTGCAGGCTTCTTTTGAGTTCGACGGGACAGTGAGGTGAGAGGGCGGGCTATGTGCGTTCAGTGACTGACGTCGCTGTCCCGCGCAAGCTCTGTCCGTGGTTTTGTGGTGGCCATCAACTTACGTCGGCCGGCGCTGCTCTATTAGTGCCTGTCACGCCAGCGCAGCCTTGTTTTACTTCTTTTTCCTGTTCGCAGTGATCGACGCGCGGCGGTCTGCTCTCGGGGCTGCTGTAGCGTCACTGCTGGCAGAACACATCCTTCCCGCCTCTCATCCTATTCTCCTACTCTCCTCTCTTCCTCTTCTCTCCTCCTCCTCCGCCTCCTCCTCCTCTTCTTCTTCTTTCCTCCTCTCCCCCCGTTTTACTCCTCCTTCTTGTCCTGCTCATCCGCATTGGCATCCTCGAAGAGGTCGACGGGCTGGCGGAGTTCGTCTACTGCGACAACTCCGGGAAGGAGATCAGCTGCTGGCGAGATCGCGCCGTGGGAGGCCCATCTGCTGCCGCGGCCGCCCCGCGCCCCCGAAGCACAGACAGGGGGTAAATCGGCCAGTGGGGCCCAGACCACGCCGCTGGGGATGGGGATCGGTTAAACGATACTCCAGAGTGGCAGGTGGTCGTTTTCGGATTCATCGTTTCGCCGATCGGCGCGAACCCTCGCACCCCCCCTCTTCCCCCGCCCCCCCATGGAGGGGACCTTGGCTGTTTTTGGCGCCTGCTTCGGGCAGGTGGAGTCTCCACCACAGGACGCGCTGCTGCAACCAGTCGCATGAAGCAGAGGTCCGGAGCCAGACCCTCCCCATCCGCCCCCTCTTCCGCTCAGTGCCGAAACGCCGAATAAGAAAACGTTCACCAGGAAGATGCGGAGGAAGAGAAGGAAAAGGAGGAGGAGGAGGGGGAGCAGGGGGAGGAGGTGGAGGAGGAGGAGGAGGGGGAGGAGGAGGAGGAGGAGGAGGAGGAGGAGGAAGAGGAGCAGGGGGAGGGGGAGGAGGAGGAGGAGTGGAGGAGGGGGAGGGGGAGGAGGAGGAGGTGGGGGAGGAGGGGAGGGGAGGAGGAGGAGGCGAAGGAGGAGGAGGCAGTCGGGGCAGGCCCGCTCCGTTGCGGGTGACGGCCGCCCCGAAGGGCCCTCAGGCCAGCGCGCTGGGGTAGCGGGTGGCACACCGAGGGGGCGCCCAGCGGACAGTCCTTTCGGGCCCGCCCGATTGGTCCACACGCGTGGCACGACGTTGCCCACAAGGACCGTGCTCGGGGCTGAAGCGAAAACCCCACATGCTGAACACCAACCGCCTCCATCAGTGTAGTTGTTCGAGGTTGACAGAACCTCAAGATCACAGGCGATGGGGACGTCTCACGCAGAACGCCCGGCACGTTTAGTGATGCGACGAGGACGTGTGGTCACAGAAAGGGGCGGAGTAGGATGACGATGACGATGCTGCTGCTGCTGCTGCTGATGATGATGATGATGATGTTGGTGATGCTGATGATGATGATAGAAAGAAGACGATGCTGATACTGATGATGCTGCTGATAATGATGAGGATGATGAAGATGATGTTGAGGATGATGCCGAGGAGGAGGAGGATGAGGAGGAGGAAGAGGAGGGAGGACGAGGAGGAGGAAGAGGATGACGATGACCATGACGATGCTTACGACGAGGCTGAGGCTGATGATGCTGATGCTACTGCTACTGCTGCTGACGACGCTGCTGCTGCTGATGATGATGATCATGCTGATGATGCTGATGCTGATGCTGATGCTGATGCTGATGCTGATGCTGATGCTGATGCTTATGCTGATGATGAGGATGAAGATGGTGGTGGTGGTGGTGGTAACTGTGGAATTGTGTAGTTTCGGTGATGATGATACTGATGATGATGGTGGTGGTGGTGATGACGATGCTGATGATGAGAATGATGATGATTAGGATGATGCTGATCATTACGATGATGATGACGATGCCGATGACGATGACGATGAGGAGGAGGGGGTGGGAATGGAGAGGAGAGGGAGGGGAGCAGGCTGAGGGAGGATGGGGAGGGGAAGATGTCGAAGGAAGAGGGGCGGAGTAAGCAGGGGGCGAGGGAGATGATGATGATGATGATGGATGATGATGATGATGATGATGATGATGATGATGATGATGATGATGATGATGATGATGATGATGATGATGATGATGATGATGATGATGATGATGACGATGATTATTGTTATGACGAAGAGGTGTGAATGATATACGTCTATATCTGTTTATATAGGCGTGCATATGTAGAAATAAGTCGACGTATGCATGTGTACATATAAATACACATACATACAGTGAAGCACACACGCACCCACACATATTTATATATATATATATACACACATATATAAACATGTATATATATATATATATACATATCGGAGTAGGCCGGGGGGGGCCAAAACCGGTGCCATCATCCCCCATGGGCGCCCCCCCGAACTTTTGGGGGGTCACAGACCCCCCGGGACTGCCCCGGGCCGCTTCCAAATTGCCCACGACAGGCCACGCGGGCCGCACAGATGGTCAAGAAAGCCTCAAGAGGCCCCGAAGACGCCCAAGAGCGCCCCAAGAGGGCCCGAGATGGCTTGAAGATGGCCGACTAGGGCCCCAAGAGGGCCTTCAAGAGGCAAACATCGGCCCATTGCCCTCGCAAAACGCATATTTTCAGCATACTTGCTGGTTTCGTTTTCACAGTGCCCCAGACGCCCCTGCGGAGCCCCAACACAGCCCAAGAGAGACTCAAGAGGGCCCCAGTCGGCCCGAAAGGGTCGGCCTGTGGGGCTCACGGACCCCCCCGAGACGGCCCAAGAAGCCCCAAAGCCGGCCCAGGAGGCCCCCAAGACGGCCTCAGGGAGGCCCAAGAGGGCCTTGTTCGAAATCATGCTCCCGGAAGCCTCTCCGGGAACATGGTTTCCAGGTTCCGAGGACGCCCACCCAAGAGGCCCACAAGACAGGCTTAGCGAGGCCCAAGAGGGCCCGAGATGGCTTGAAGATGGCCGAAGTCGCCCTCCAGAGACGCCGAGCTCCGAAGCGACGGCGCAGGCGTCGCCGCCGTCGTCTCGCCGCCCAGGGCTTCCGAGTGCGCCCCCCGGGCGGGCGGCGGGCGTCGGGCGGCGGCGCGCGACCTGCGGGGGGCCGGCCGCGTGCCCCCTTCCCCTTCCCCCCCCCCCTGCCGCCGCAGGGAAGCTGGTGCCGGCGAGCGTCCTCCTCGATGGGCCCCCCGTCTACATGGGCTCTGAGCCGGAGGCCGCCGGCGGGAAGGAGGGGCTGGCGGGGTCGAGGAGAAGGCGGGTGAGGAGGGGAGGCTGGAGGCGGAGAAGGCCGGAGGAGGTCGGGGGAGAGGGGGAGGCGGAGGAGGACAGATGACCAGAGTGAGCCCAAGGTGCACCCACGACGACGCAGTGCACCCTCTGCTTCCAAGAGCCCTCCCCTCCATACGTCCCCGCAAGCATTGTGTTCCCACTGCGGGCAACCGTCCCCCTTGACTGACGATCGCCCCCATATTTCTTTTCTGGCTTTACAAGTTGAGGAAGTGCCCAGCAAGAGTTCCGTTTTGAAGGAGCCCTGCCCATCCGTGTGAGCGTTGCGCAGCTTCCATGCAGTTGCCACAGCATCAGGAGAGGTCTCCAGCGATCGCCCCGTTTTTACAGAGTGCCGCCCTCTATCCGTGGAGCTGTTACGCAGTTTTGGATGTCGGGTCGTAGGTTTCGAGAAAGTCTGGAGCGAGAGCCATGTTCTGAAGACGAACAGCTTTCCGTCCGTGTAACCGTAGGGAGATTCTTGGGACTACGCCGCACCGCCGACCCCTTGGGGGGCTACTGGTAGGTCTCTCGGGGGCCTCCCGGCAGCACTTTTGAGGCCTTTTGGGGGCCATGGGCCTCTTGGGGCCTCCTGGGCTTCTGGTGGGCCTCTTGGAGCCTCTTAGGGGCTTCTTGGGGGCTTCTTGGGGCCTCCTGGAGGCTTCTTGGGGCCGAGGGCTCGAAATTTCCGTTCGGGTCCCCCGCCTAGGCCCCCTCCTGGAGCCGTCTTGGGGGCCTCTTGGGCCGTCTTGGGGCCCTCTTGGGCCGTCTCTGAGCCTTCTGGGAGCTTCCTGGGTCGTCTTGGGGCGATCTTGGAGGCCTCTTGGGCCGTCTTGGACGTTGTGAAAGCCCAAGAGGCAAATGTGCTAAAATCATACGTTTCCCCAAGGGAATGGGACGATTTTTGCTTCTGGGGGCCCTCTTGGGACGCCTCTTGAGGGCCTCTTGGGGCGTCCCCGGGGCCTCTTGGGCCGTCTGGGGGCCATCTTGGGTGTCTTGGAACGATCCATCGGCGACTCGGGGCCCTCTTGGACCATCTTGTGGGCCTCTTGGGGCCCTCATGGCCTGTCGTGAGGCCCGTGACGCGTTCAGCCCGGGCGGGCCGGCCCCCCCCTCCAAACCGACCGGACCGGGCCACGGGGGGAGGGGTTTGGGGAGGGGGAAGCATCTCACACGCCGATGACCCCAAGGGGTCGGCGGATTCTAAGTCGAGTGCGCGCGGAGCGAAGGCGAGAGCCACATTTTACCGTCCCTGCGTCTGTCTAACTCATGGAAGCTTTTAAGACGAGTGTGCGCGGCGCCCAAACCACTCCCCAGCGTCCGCATAATATGTGAAAGAGCGTGTTCTACCGCTGCTGGCGGAAAACCGGGGGGGGTCACTACCGGTTCGAACCCCTCCCCCCCCCCCCTCCGGAAAACCGGGGGGGGTCACTACCGGTTCGAACCCCTCCCCCCCCCCCTCCCAGTTCATCATGAAAAGGGGGGGGGTCACTACCGGTTCGAACCCCCCCCCCCCCTCGAAAACCGAGTGGGGGTGCGGACAGTGGTGGGGACGGTGTTGGTGGGGACAGTGGTGAGGGGACAGCGGGACAGTGGTGGGGACAGTGGGACAGTGGGACAGTGGTGGGGACGGTAGTGGTGGGGACAGTGGTGGGGACAATGGTGGGAACAGGGGGGACAGTGGACAGTGGTGGGGACGGTGGTGGGGACAGTGGTGGTGAGGACAGTGGGAATGAGGTGGAAACAGTGGGATAGTGGAGGGTACAATGGTGGTGGGGACAGTGGTAAAGGCGGTGGCGAGGACGGCGGTGGGACAATGGGACAGAGGTACAGTGGGGACTGTGGTGGACAGTGGTGGGAACAGTGGGACAGCTCAGTGGGACAGCGGAGGGGTCAGTGGGACAGTGGGGACAGTGGGGACAGTGGGGAGAGTGGGGAGACCGTGGTGGGAACAGTGGTGGGGACAGTGCGACAGTGGTGGGGGCACTGGTGGGGACAGTAGGGACGGTGGTGGAACCAGTGGGGACAGTGGTGGTGAGGACAGTTTTCGGGGGGGGGGGGGGAGGAGGGGTTAGGGGAGGGGGGTGTTTTTTGCCGGGGGGAAGGGGGGGGGGGGCTTCCAGCAGGGGGGGGGATTTTCGGAGGGGGGGGGGAGACCCCCGGGTTCCGGAGGAAAAGGTTGGCAATTTTCCACAGTAAAGCGGCGGTGGATCACGCTCTCTCTAATATGTGGAAGCTTGTCAGACGAGCGTGTGCGGCGCCAAGACGAGCCCAACTTTTAACACTACCTGTGCATCATCAGTGTATCTGATGTTTTGTTGTAAGGCGAGTGTGCGCGGCGCCAAGGGGCGATCCCAATTTCGAAGACGACTTGCGCTCCATCTGTGTAGCTGTCGGGCACTTGCGAGCTTCGAGATCACAAGTTGTGAGGAAGTCTTGTGCGAAACGACCAGCTCGCCCTCACGATTCGTCTGGTGGCGAGACAGGGAGGAGCTATCCAGACGAAGAGGGATGGAGGAGGGAGGAATGGGGAGGAGGAGGAGGAGGAAGACAAGAGTAAGCTCAGGATTCATCAATGACGCTGTAATGCACCCTCCCGTTCCAAGGTCCCGCCTCACAAGTCCCAAGAAGCTTTCCTCTCCGCTGCGGAAAGCGGCAGCCACCTTGCATGACGAGCGCCCGGCGGGCCCGCCAACCAGACGAGACCCGTTCTGTGAAGGATGCATCTTGCACCGTTCAGCGCGAAATATGCAACATGGATAAAGTTCATGAAGTTTCTGTCGGGAGCCCCGTTCTCCATCGTATGAGTATTGCACAGTTGCAGAAAGTTCGGGTCATGCAGACTGTGGAAATCTCAAGCGAGCGCACCATTAGGAAAAGCAGCCGCTCTCCGCCCGAGAAGCTGTTGCATAGTTTTGGACACGTCGGGCCCTTAGAATTTGAGGAAGCGTCGGAAATGTTTCAAACGAACTCAGCGGAACTAAGGATATAGCCTTGAAGCAACCGGCCGTCAGTGCGTGTAAGTGTTGGAAGCTGTACAAGACACGCTCGCGTGGCGCTCAGGCATGAGCCGCGAATTGAAGACGACCGGCCCTCGATCCGTGCAACTCTTGGAAGATGTGAGAACGACTGCCCGCGGCGATAGCGCGAGAGCCGCATTTTGAAGACGACCCAGCCTCCGTCCGTGTGGCTGCTGGCGTTCTCTTAGCGTCACGAGAATGCAGTCAGCCCGCATAGTAAAGAGGAGCGGTTTTCCAAGGCCACCCTTGCATCCTTGACCCGTCGGCCCATCCTTGGCGACTTCGCTGGCCAACCTCGCTCGAAAAACGGGAACGTGGTCCTCCAAGGCCCTTGCATCCTTACAGCGTATCCTTACTACACGGGTTGACTGTAACATGCAAGGAAGCCTCAAGCGAAACGCTCAGCCTGGCCTACGGACGCGTTTGGTGTTGCGACAGTCGAAAATGTCCGCTTGGGTCCCCAGTCTGGGCACGCTCGGAGCCGTCTTGGGGGCCTCTTGAAGGCCGTCTTGGAGGCGCTTTGGGCTGTCTTGGGGTCCTCTTGGGCTGTTGGGGGGTGTTCTTGGAGGCCTCTTGGGCCGTCTCGGGCCGATCTTGGGGGCCTCTTGCGCCGCCTATGAGCGGCGGGACATCGACAAGGCGAGAACGACCAAATCTAAAAAAATGACATCGGAATTCAACGAATTTTGCCTTTTCGGGTCTTCTCCGAAGTGCTCTTGGAGGCTTCTTGGAGCGTCCTGGAGGCTTCCTGGGCAGTCTGAAGGGCGTGAAGGCGTTTTGGACCGATCGCTTGGCGATTGGGGGCCTTCTTGGACTGGTTCGGGGGCCTCTTGGGGCACTCTTAGCCTGTGTTGGTATCTTCTGAGGCCCCTGGACCCACAGGGGGGCATGCGTATCTGACCCGCTCCCTCCCGGGACCGCCCCCCCTACACCCCCCCTCCCCTCCCCTCACCCCTCTGGGACTCCCCCACCAGCGGGGGAGGGATCAAAGGGAAGGGGCTTCCCTTCGACTCGATTACGACATTGCTTGATGTTTCTCTCGCTGACAAGCTTGAGGAGGAGGAGGATGCAGGGACTGGGGGCGATGGAGACAACGACTGACGGAGACGACGACTCGAACAGACAAGCCCTTCAAACACGCCGACGGGGTCGGCGGATTTCGGGCTCCTGTGGATTTCTGAGGATTCCTGATGGTGCCTGAAGGATTCCTGAGGATTACTGACGGATTCCTCGTGGATATCAGGGGATTCTTGACGGATTTCTGGCGATGTTCGTAGGATTCGTGAGGATCCCTGACGTTTCCTGATGGTTCCTGCCGCGGATTCCTGAAGATTCTGGAGGAACCCAGAATGATCCACGAAGGTTTTCTGAGGACTCCTGCCACTGCCTGAGGGACTCCTGAATTTTCCTGGAGGATGCCTGAAGGATTGCTGAGGACTCCTGAGCCCTTCCCCCCAAGGAATTGTTTAAGTGAATAATTTAAGTGAGGTGCTAACGATATCGCTCCGCGTTCCCCCCTTCTGGAATTATTGATTTATTTTTCAGGCCTAGAGATCACGGGGTGATCGATAATTGCGCGTCAGGGTAGAATTCAGACAAACGACTGCTCTCCATACATGAAGGTGTTCGACCTTGCGGGCTCGAATCTCACATAGAGGAAGTCTTATGCCAGAGCTCGATCGTGTAATGGCGCCTCTGTATGGACATGCGTTGCGAAGAAGTTTCGAGTGAGCGCCTGGTGTTGGTCAGGAGCTGTCCTCCATCCGTGTATATCTTAGAAGTCGAAATATTTAAGAGTGTAGTTCAGGAGGGAAAAAACACACGGACACAATTCATCGTCGCTTCCCAGTATGGGAATATGTGGTAAGTGGGGGGGGAAGACGAAAACCCAGAAAATATGGGGAATCCTGGGATTTGTATGTTTTTA